GTTCCTGGATCAGTGTTTTTGTTCAGTGATGTGTGGTTGCTGGTGAGTATTTGCTTCAGGTTGGGGGATTGTCTGTAAGCGAGGACAGGTCTGTCTCCCAAGATCTGTGAGAGTGAGGGATCATCTTTCAGGATAGGTTGTAGATCTTTGATGAAGCGCTGGAGAGGTTTTAGTTGGGCGCTGAAGGTGACAGCTAGTGGTATTCAGCCCAGTCCAATGCAGGGAAGGGAAAGGGGGCGGGGTCCATTGCAGCTCAGGTGGCTTTTAAACATCGCTAGGAGAGAAAGAGAGAGACAAAAATTAATCCCTCCTTCTGGGTCACAGAGCGGATTGAGATTGACAGCACTTTTCATCCAACCACCTCAAAATATTTTATGAGACTCCCTCCAGCAAACTGGAATGAAATCCAGTGAACACCATGTGACGTTGCACCCCATAATGCTTTATGGAAATATGCTTATGAATATAAATATGACATAACTGGAATATGTTTTCTGCTACATATGTCATGTAACATATCTCTGCAAAGGTTATAATCTACTGAATATATTCATCCTATTTGTATGCATATATCATTTTTGTATTAGAAGTTATGAATATTGGCTGGGGTACTTGTTTGAGTTTAAGTAGCCTTAGTAAAGGATTTGGTCAGCTTCTTGAGAAAGGAGTGTGCAAATTAAGTGCCCAATCAAAAACCACTTAATTGACAATGGATCTTGGAAGACTCCAATCCACATAAGAAGTCTTCCTGGAGACATTTAAGATAGCATGTGGGCAATGGCTGCTGCCTGTAAAAACTGAGTCATGCATGGACATGTGACTTGCCTATGTGACTCCAAAACTCTATCTTGGAGCTGGATTTTGCTTAGGAGACAGGAGGGGGTCTCCACAAGAGGAATTCTATTTAAGCCCCTGGAAACCCCTCCATTTTGTCTTCAACTGGCTCAAGAGATAGCCTCTCCCCCCAAAGGATACTGAAAGAAACGGAAACAAAAACAGTAACCACGGGGGTGTGAGTGATTGCTGGACCCAGACTAGAAGGAGGCTAGTCTGTAAAAGAAGCTTACTGGAACATCTCTGAGGGTGAGGTTTCATCTGTAATCACTTTCTTACTTTATTAGGTTTAGACTTGCGTGTTTTATTTTATTTTGTTTGGTAATTTACTTTGTTCTGTCTGTTATTACTTGGAACCACTTTTATCCTACTTTTTGTAGTCAATAAAATCACTTTTTACTTATTAATTATCCCAGAGTATGTATTAATACCTGGGGGGCAAATAGCTGTGTATATCTCTCTATCAGTGTTATAGAGGGCAAACAATTTATGAGTTTACCCTGTATAAAGCTTTATACAGGGCAAAATGGATTTATTTGGGCTTTGGACCCCATTGGGAGCTGGCCATCTGAGTGTTAGAGCTGTTTTCAGTTAAGCCTGCAGCTGTTGGGGGATGTGGTTCGGACTTGGGTCTGGGTTTGTAACAGGCTAGCGTGTCTGGCTCAATCTGGCAAGGTTCTGGAGTCCCAAGCTGGCAGGGGAAATGGGTTAGAAGTAGTCTCAGCACATCAGTTGGCAGTTCCCAAGGGGTTTTCTGTGATCCAACCCATCATGCTCCACTGACACTGGGGTCATCAAGAACCCTAGAGTCCTTACAATGACTGAGAGCATCTACCCAAACCCCACACCTCACTCTGGAGCCATAAAAGTTACACAAGAAGAATTGCCCCAGGGAAGGAGCTGTGTAGGGTTGGCAGGGGCAGACCTGTGCTGTCCACCTGATAAGCCCAAGGGTATGGGTCATAGGGCGAGAGGGGTAGTCTTCACAGTCTGTGGCCCTCTGGGCTGATCCAGGCTGTGAAGCAGCCCTGTTATAAACCAAAGCAGCCCGTGGCTGCTCTAATATATGCCAGGGGCTGAAGCAGAAGCAGAGCAAAGGTGGCACAGAACAGAATCAGAGCCATTGTCTTTACTCCAACAAAAGTGGCACTGCAGGTAGCCATGGCCTGTGGTTTCCAGCACTGAGCATTCTGTAATCAAGCCTGGATGCTTTTCTAAAAGATCTGCTCTAACAGGAATTATTTCAAGGCAGGTCACAATGGCCCCTGTTGGCCTTGGAACATATGGAATCTATGAACCAGGCCAACCACATGATCACACCTGTGGGGAGTGAATGGCCATGCTGTCTTAGAAGGAGCAGCCCCTTGAAAGCCCCTTACCTTCTTGAGAGGTCTCGTGCCCTCCAACCTTCAAACATGTCCGTGATGTTCCCCACAACCTGCCCGCTGGGCAGCCGCAGGTCGTCGGAGATGTCACCATTGAAATTCCCGCAAGGTGCACACAGCTTGTTAGCCAGGCTCTCGCTGACTGTCACTGTCACCTCTCCGCTCAGGTTGAACAGAATCTTTATTCTAGAGCCCTGGACAATCATGATGGTGCCCTGAGACTCACTTACAGACAAGTTGGATACCTTCACTGGGAGCTGCCTTTGGTGCCCTCTCACCTGGAAGGCACAGACAAGGAGGTCAGAGAAAAGCTGGGCACCATGGGAGGTAGTGAGACAGAGATAGTCTATGGACCCCAGTACAAGGCAATGGGGTCTGGAGTCGCTAGGTCAGATTTTGCTCTCAAACAAGTGTAAAACCCGAGTAAATCCATTGCAGTCAGGGGAGTAACTCTGGATTGAGACTGATGTAACTGAGAGCAGGCTCTGCCCCTCCACTCTGGGAGATGAGCCTATCTCTTTCCAATTATCTTCTCCTCATTGCATGTGTGACTAAGGGAATCATCTCTCCTTTTTTTCTTACGCTAACAAGGTCTTCGTTAGCTCACGTTTCCATAATTAGTGGCATTATTTCTATTGCAACAGCACCCGGAATCCCAGGGGTGGTTCAGGACCTCTTTGTGCCAAGTGCTGTACAAACACAGACCAAAAGCACAGTCTTCATCCCAACGAGTTTACAGCATAATGCTTCATTTTCAGTCAGAAGAAATGTGGGTCAGATCTAATCATATTGACTGTGAAGGGCAATAAATTGGGGCCATCAGTCAACTGAGGCAGGGAGATCCAGCCCAGAACAAGTATTCGACTGGTTCTCAGGAAAGTGTCTATTTAGTTGTATGCTCTGTGTGATAGAGACCCTGATCTCAGGTGGGTAGGGACTCTCAGGTCTCTTGCTGTGTGTCTGGGCAGCACCCGGCATAAAGGGGCCCTGATCTCAGGGGGGCAGGGACTGCCTCTTGCTGTGTGTCTGGGCAGCACCTGGCATAATGGGGCCTGATCACAGTTGGGGTCTGTTGTGCTGCCATACTTGGGTGTCCTGATTCCCAGTTTCCCACCCCCCTACTTTAATAGAAATAATAATAATAACTGGTACAGAGAACATCAAGCTCCCTAAGAACATATTTCTTCAGTCATTAGAACCAAACTCAAAGCAGGTTTGTTTTAAAGTCTGTAAATACACAGATTAGAGCTGGAGGGGGGTGGAATGGTTTTCCAGTATTGCCACAAGTTTTTGAGAGTTTGAAATTTTTTCTCATCCTAAATCAGTACGGGAAGTCTTCAAAATTTTTGCAAATCAAAAACCTTAATTTTTGTTTGTTTGTTTGTGTTGGGTCAATAGAAATGTTTTGTTTCAGTACAGTTGTGTCATTTCTATTTTGATCTTTTTCCTTTTAACTTAATTTTTAGACTAATTCATTTAAAATTTGAAACACAAAGTTATACTGAAATGGAAAACCAGAATTTTTCATTTTGAAAATATTGAAAATGTTTCATTTTGAGCATTTGGGAACTCTTTTTTCAGAGTTTTTTTCCACTTAGGAGATTCGTCAAACCCAAGCCTGTATCACGAAAAGTTTTGGGTTCAACGAACAGGCATTTTTTGTCCAAAAAAACATCTCACACGGTTTACAATGGTGAGTGTCAAGATTCTGTTAACATTCAGCCCAGTGGTCGCGTGGTTAAATACCCTGGTGAAGGTCTTTTGCTCACCGCAGCTTCCTACAGCTACTGCAGGTGAGACTGCTGGCATGTCAGGAACAGCCCTGCTATTGGTGGCAGCACAAGCAGTAGCGTAGCTGGGGGGGAGCGGGGGAGCAGCCACTCCCCCACCGAGCACAAGTGGCGCCTTTTTAATTTTACTCACCCGGGAGCGGGGGGAAAAAAAGGCGCCACCCACTGTGGTGCTTTTACTGTCGGGGCGGCGCTCCGGGTCTTGGCGGCACTTCGGCGGCGGGACCTTCACTCGCTCCGGGTCTTCAGCGGCACTTCGGCGGCGGGACCTTCACTCGCTCCGGGTCTTCGGCGGCACTTCAGCGGCAAAACCTTCACTCGCTCCGGGTCTTCGTTGCCGAAATGCAGCCGAAGCCCTGCGGAGTGAATGAAGGACCCGCCGCCGAGGTGCCGCCGAAGACCCGGAGCACTGCCCCATCAGTAAAAACGCCGCAGCAGGTGGCGCCTTCTTTTTTTCCCATTCCCCCTCTTCCCTCCCCCTGGCTATGCCACTGAGCACAAGCTCACCATTAGAGGAGGGGGTTAGGGACTCCCAGCTCTGTGTGGTGCTTAATTCACTGGCTAGATGAGTGGGCTAAAATTCAGAATGCATGGGTTCTAGTCCCACCCCTGGGAGAGGAGTGGGGTCTAGTGGATTAGAGCAGGAGTGAGCTGGGAACCAGGACTCCTGGGTTCTTGCTCTTGGAAGGGAATAGGGTCTAGTGGGTTTGAGTGGGGGGCTGGGAGTCAGAAATTCTGGGTTCAATCTGTGGCTCTGAGAGAGAAGTGGGGTCTAATAGGTGTGAGCTGGGAGCCAGGACTCCTGGGTTCTATCCCTGGGTCTAGAGGTTAGAGCAGGGTCCTAACAGGAGTCCTGCACTCTATTCCCAACTCAGTCACTGTCTCACCGTATGACTTTGGGCAGATCACTTCCCTTCAATAAATCAGGGATCTTAATAGTGACTCACCCCCTCCCCCAGATTTTTGCCCCTCCCCCTTGGTTTAGGGTGTGCTAACCCAGCCTCCTCTTACCCAAACCTCCTTTTTCTTATTGACATGGATAAGACCCTCCTCAAAGAAAACGGAGATGCCATCAGGAACGGCCAAGCCACCTTCTCTGAACACACTGACCACCATCCGGAACCAGGGGAGGTCGACCCCTTCGCAGAGGGAAGACACATCGTAGGCCCCTTCAAGGAGGACTTCCCTCTCGACACCATCAAAGGAGGTGAACCATATTCCTGGGGCCAGCGTGCACCGGCCCACCTGCTTCACGCAGCTGCGCACCCCATTCCTGAGCATGCATTTCTCCTCTTCGGTACATTTTGTTTCCTCACAGATGACCTCGCCTGAAGCGTGGCAGGTGCATTTCTCGGAGCAGTTGCTGGACACAAGGCTCTCCCCGGCCTTCAGGGAAATACCCAGACAAACAACTTTAAGTGAACACAAAGGGAATCACACCTCGGCAGGAGGGACTGGAAGCAGCAATATATAGAGCTATAGGAAAGCCCCGCCATGAGAGGATCAATAGAGAGAAAACGTCAAGGACCTTCCAGAAGCAATAGCGTAGCAAGGCTGATCACAGAGAGAAAGAGCAGGTGGATACAGCAGCGATAAAGAAAGCAAGGTATGGGATTGACCTTACTGAGGTCTAATAACATCAAGCCCCAACACCTAGCAACATCCCCTGCCCAAGGTCTGACAACAAGGGGGGCAGCTGCAGTGTTGATTTTCATGTGAAAGGCAGATTTGCCAAACAGAAATTAGGCTTAGTCCCACCAACATTTTTCTTTACACACAGTCAATGCTCTTGTTTCCCAGGAGCCAGACTGGAGGGGAAGAGCCTCGTATTCCACTTGCTGCCCCCCTGAACTAAGGCTGGATCGGAGCTGGTCCCCTAGAGGGGAAAGGCCCCAACTCGCATTCCCCACCCACCTAAGCCAATCAATCCCCCGACCCTGGGCTGTATCAGAGTCAGATGCCCCTAGAGGAGAAAGGCCCTGTGTCCCATTTCCCAAACCCACTACGCCAGGCAGTCCCTCTGACCTGGGGCTGTCTCAGAGCTGGCACCCCTAGAAGAGCAAGGCCCTGTGTCCCATCCCCTGTCCCCCTAAGCCAGCCAGTCCCCCTAGCCTGGGTCTGGATCAGAGTTAGACCCCCTGGAGGGGAATGGCCCGTTTCCCATTCCCTAGACACTTCCCTACTTTACACTTGCTCAGTCTCCAACGTGCTGGACAGTTTCATTCCCTCATGGTATTTTCTTCCAGATCTGTTTTACAATCTCCTGCAAACAAACTTCATCTCAATACCTGGCTATCTGGATACCTGTCTGATCTGAGCCCATGCTCAGAACTTTCTGGGAGTCACGTTACATCCCAGGTTACTGGTCAGTTCCTTAGATCAAGCCACCGAGGCTGCTTAGTGAGGTCCATAAACTTTAAGCATCGTTGATCAAGTTTGTCCTGCATGGACAACTACACAGAACCAATGAGACTCCCAAAGACCTGACCCCCCACATCGGGATGCTCTGAGCTCGGTGTAAAACCAGGAAAGGATCTTTTGGGAGCAGCTTTTGCTTTGGTTATTCCAAAGGCCTGTCCTGGAATATAGAAGACTATCCTTGTTCTCCGTGGTGGCAGATGACAGAACAAGAAGCAATGGTCTCAAGTTGCAATGGGGGAGGTCTAGGTTGGCTATTAGGAAAAACTATTTCACTAGGAGGGTGGTGAAGCACTGGAATGGGTTACCTAGGGAGGTGGTGGAATCTCCAACCTTAGAGGTTTTTAAGGCCTGGTTTGACAAAGCCCTGACTAGGAAGATTAACTGGTGTTGGTCCTGCTTTGAGCAGGGGGTTGGACTTGATGAGCTCCTGAGGTCTCTTCCAACCCTGATATTCTATGATTCTATGATCCCTGTAATAGAAATGATGGGCCCCACGTTGTGTATGCACAGCTGCCATTGACTGCAGTGGAAGCTGCATGGGTGACCCAGAGGGCAGGATTTGGCTCTAGGTTTTAGGTATAGCCGCATAGTAGGATACAGGACATGCCACTCTACAGTCACTCTAACCCCCATTGGGAATCCCATTGCCAGAGGAGAATGGTGGAATCGGGGAGAACAGACGGACCAATAACTGAGCACCCACCTTGATGTAGCGTCCATTGTGCACACAGCCACACCTGTCCATGGAGACGCATGCCTCCCCATCGGACACGTATTCTGGATCACACCAGCAGCCTTCAAAGCACTTCCCGGTGCATTGGGCAGGGGCAAACAAGCTGGCACAGGTGAAATCGCAGGATCTGGTACACAGCTCATAGTGGCTGTTAGCCGGGCAGGCAAGGGCTGGAGGGACAGAAGAAAAATTACAACCATCACAGACAGAAAGCCAAGTTAAGGTGAGGTCTCCCACCTAAATAAATAGAAGCTCCTACTTAGCCTAGAAGTCTGAGATGCATTGTGGAGGCTGGATAGCACAAGAACCACAGCAGCTATGGGTTAATGAAGTACAGATTGTAGATTGTCCTATAGACTTACGGCAGAAGGAGGCCGTTCTCCAGGTCTCGATCTTGGCCCCAGCTGCCTGGCACGCAGCCACATAGGCCTGCAGGCTCTGGCAGAGAGTCTCTCCCCTTCCGTTGGTGGCACACATGTCATAGAGACAGTGGTTGAAATACTCAACAGGATTGATTATTGAGTGACAGTCTCTGAAGGGACCTGAGGTGGCCGGGATCAGCCCACAGGAGCTCTCAGTCTGGTACGGCGCTGTCTGGGCTGCATCACAGATGGGGCACTTCTCATCACAGCCATCAGAGCATGTGGCACCATCAACAGGCACCTTCCAGGAGGCGACAAATTCATCCACATTCTGGGTACTCTTCACACCAGGCAGCAGGAGATCATCGTTCTTGTCATCGTTAAAGTTGCCACACAAGCCGCACACATGTCCCTTATAGGTGCTGGGGATGGACAGTAGGAGGTAGGATGCAGTGTCGTAAAAGACTTTGAGGCCAGAGGCTGATTGGACAATGATGTTGTTCCCCTCTTGGTTGATCCAAAGTTTTCCATCGTCCGTAGCCAGTGGGAGAGTGTAGAGCTCACCACCCATCTGTGCCAATAAGAGAGAAATTCACCCATCACTGGTGGAGACTTAGCAATGTCCTAGTGTTTTACACACACACACACACACACACACACACACACACACACACACACACACACACT